TAAAAAACAATATTCATGATATTTTCATCCATCAGAGTCAAACTGACCAGAGGCAGTTTCTCCAGCAGCATGTCCACCATGGCTCCTTCTTTGTACTGCTTGAAGGCCTCTGCCTTCTTGTTCATCTGCTCGGCCTCAGCACGGCCCTTAGCCTCCACGGCAAAAGCCTCTGCCTCACCCTTTATCTGCATGACAACACACAGAGCAGATAAAAGTGACGATGGCAGTAGTCACATGAAGCAGGAGAGAAAAGAATGCCACATTATATGATGCAAAGTCACAGAAGGAAAGGTGACGAGAAAATTAACAGTAGGAAAAAACTGTGGCAGAAAACGGGCGGTTCTCACTCTGATGGACTCTGCCTCAGCCTCAGCTTCCATGATGAGCTGTGAACTGCAGTAGAAAGGGAAAAAAAAAAGAGTTTTTTGTTGTTCAGTTCAAACTATACAGAAGCAATATTATGATTTAGTGCTCACCGCTGGGCCTCAGCCAACTTCTCCAGTCGGTATTTCTCAGCTTCTGCAGGTTTCTTAACCTTGGCCTCCAGCTCCTTCTCCTTGCGTGTGATCTCCTGTTCCTGCAGAGTAATCTGCTGCGTACGCTCCACCACTTGAATCTGCATCTTCTCTTCTTCGATGCGCTGCTTGGTCTTGGCCACCTGAAATGGAAATTCCAACAATCCTCAGCTTACCATCAATAAAACACAACATTTTGGACTTGGCCAGGCATTATGATGAGCGTACCTGAAGCTGATAGGCCATTTCTGACTCGGCCTTCTTGGCATTGACCTCAATGTCATAAGCTGCTTTCTTCAGCTCATAGTCTCGCTGGGCTTTCGCCATTTCAATCTCATTCTTGTACTGAGCAGACACCTTCTCCTGCATTGCGTGTGCCTCCTGAAAATGAACAGTACAGGAGAGAAAGACAAATTTGGTACTGCTCATCAGCATTATCTTGTCAGTACATGTCATTGTGCCGTCTTTCTCCCCTCTCCCCAACTGGTCCTTGCAGATGGCCGCTCCCTGAGCTTAGTTCTATTGGAGGTTTCTTCCTGTTAAAAGGGAGTTTTTCCTTCCCACTGTCACCAAAGCGCTTGCTCATAGGGGGTCATATGATTGTTGGGGTTTTCTCTGTTTTCTTTGTATAATTGTAGGGTTTTCACTTTACAATATAAAGCGCCTTGAGGCAACTATTGTTGTGGCCCTATCTAGATAAAACTGAACTGAACTGAACAGGCAGAATGACATTGACGATTATTTACCTTAATGACAGCATCTCGTTTGTATTGAGCCTCTCCAATCCTGGCATCCTTCTGCACCTGAGCTGTTCTGGCTTTACCCAGCGAGTGGAGGTAGTCCTGTAGGAGAGACAGAAAGAAGGAGAGAAAGTGACAACCGACTACCAGAGAGCCTTATTCAGGCATTGAAAAGTAAAGTATTACATCAGACAAACGAGTAATGTCGTTACCACAGAAGCACTTAGGCCTTATTTATGTCTACTGGGATGGCTCCAGGCTGAGAGTCGGGTAAGTCAATATCAATCACTTAAGAGCATTACAGTAACAGAGGAAATCATCAAAGACTAAACGCTTTGAAAACCTACATATTTCTAATGAATTTATCACAAGTCCATCAGTTTTTGGCTTTTTGGGGGAGGCAATTTTTTGCATGAATTTGCTTATTTTTAGTGGTCTGTCACAGATCCCGCATATTATCACTCAACGATGCATCGTTTCCTGTTGTACCAAAGATAATGCTCTGACAGAATATTCAAGATCTCATGGTAGATAAGCTGTCTGTTGACACCAACACACGTTACAGATTTTCCACGCAAAGCTTGCTTTATTTCAGCTTGCCATATTTAAAACAAAATCCTATTTTTCCTATACATGCACATTCAATCACCCACTGAGGAACTGACAATGGCCAGCTGGAAAGGTTTAGCATATCTCCCATGCCCTTCCAGCGTATTTTGTAATGTTTTTACAGTCA